CCTACGACCTTCACCAGATCGTTGGTCCACCTAGTGAGGGGCCTGCCCGCTGTACATCTTCTGGCGATTTTAAAACTCATTTTTCTTCAATTTAGATTGAAAGTTGTGTTAACTTTCATTCGTGTAATAGGCTAGTTCCCTAAAAAAATTTTTTTAGTCCGTCATGTTTAATATCAAAAAATATTGGACACATATATTTTTATTTGTCAATCTAACAAATAATTACATAGTTATGGTGCGTTGAAGTTCCGCACGACGTCACAACGTGCGGCACTTTTATGCACGCATTGACGTCACGGGCCTCTTCTTATGAACTTTGGCGCGCTTTATCTCTTTAAATTTTCATTAGTTTGAAAAAGTGAAAAATACGTGTAGAGTATTTTTTGATAAGTTAACTGACGGACTAATTAAAACTCTTGCTTTTTGACCCAGGAAACATCCCTATTCCTGAAAGTTGAATAAACTTTTACTGTAGCATTTTACTGAGCAAATTCAAACAGATATCTTTGCTTAGCCTATATTCAGATTGCTTAAGAGATAAGCCCTTTTTGGGCATGATTTATTGGTTATACTCACACCCTGTGGACCTGAATAGTCCGCATATCTAGGACAAAGGGAAATCTTCTGATTTGAATCGGCTCAGATTTTGCGGGTTGAAATGAATTTGATTCTATTTTGTTTCGGATAAGAAGCACGTGTAGGATTTAAATTTATGGAATCTTGATTCTGTTATTAATCTAGATATTTGTATTCTTTGTTATTTTTTAAAGTTGAAGGTAAGTCATAAATATCAATCATTTCGCGCTTACATATTTTTCTTTGTTTATTTCCGTTTGTACCTACATCGATTCTTCATATTTATTAGTAAGAAAAAGTCCAGAATTGTAGAAATTTTACTGGCAAGCTTCTCTTCAAAGAGTTCTTATTAAATACGTGTAAGTACCGCAGGTCGCTACCTAACGGGGGATGTGGGAATCATTGGGGGAGGCCTATGTGTAGCAGTGGACGTCCTGTGGATGAAATGATGATGATGATGACGTAGTAATATGTAGACTAATGTTAAAAATAATAGCAAAACATACCAATACATAGCCATGGAACTATTTATCTTACGAACATAATTTTCACGCAAAAAGGCAAGTGCGAAACCGTTCACCAAATTCTGGCCACTTGAGAATCGCACAAACTTGAACAGACGAAAATTTAGAGACCCGAACCTTTGGAGACCGCCCGGAGCAACGCCTTTGAACTGATTCAAGATTTGAACTACTACAAAACTAGATGTTGTTCTTTTAGATTCGCACCCGTTCTGTGAATCGGGGAGCGCGGCACCAGTCATGGTTTTGCGTAGTTGCCTATTACGAGTACATAATCAGTGGCAATCAAACAGTACATAGTGTTTTGGGATTTTTTGATATAAAATACAGCAGTGTTTTGGGGGGGTCGTGAAGTTTCTGTAAGCTGTCGCGAAGCCTCTGTAAGAGGTCGCAAGAGATCTTAAAATTACCTCAATAAAAAAATCTATAAAGTTATGCAAATGCATAATGTTATATGGACTCAAGTATTCGGTTCCTACTACATCTTTGTAATATTGTAAAATGCATGAAAAAAAAGCGAACGCTCGGGATTATTTTCATACTCGTGTCAAGAAAACAGCTACTTTGCAACGAATTTGTAGTTTAATGACCGACAACACTATCACCCTAACTGGAACTAATGAATGCAAAGACCGTATATGGTTTGCATGAAATATTATTGACCGTGGCGTCCTTGAGACGGACCGACCCTGTTTAACTTAATTCAAGGTTAAAGGCAACTAACTGTTTATTCATGAAACACGACATTGCCGCTATCAAGTTTGATTTCATTGTGCTGAAAGTTATTGTTCTTAGTTTTAATTACATTGTGGCTTTGTTGCTGATGTAAATTACGCCCGTAAAAAGAACATTTCGTTCTCACTTTAGATTTAATTTTGTGTTTTATGTTGCGTCCTCTAATCAGTATAAAACCATACTGTAATCAGTATGAAATCCTAGTTATTTTTTTTACAATTTTGCGCATTGGACTTCGTATTAAGGCTGATTTACATGTATTAATTCGTTAAGTAGGTAACTAAATTTAACCTACCTACTTAGTACGTGTAAATCAGCCTTTATAGATGTCTAAATAAGAAAACAAGGCGTTCACGATTACCTTTTCAAATGTCTTTACATTAATCTTAATTTTACTTACATTATCAGATCCTCGTGTCACTTAGGCCCAGAACACACGGTGAAATGCAACTGCAACTAAACTGCAACGTCTAGTTACTTTTGTGTTGCATCTAAGTTTCTGCCATAGATTCCGTTGAGAGACCACACATGACGCGACCAGTTTGAAACCGGTTTGAAATGGTCGCGTGATGTGTGGTCTCTCAACGGAATCTATGGCAGAAACTTAGATGCAACTCAAAAGTAACTAGAAGTTGCAGTTTCGTTGCAATTGCGTTTCACTGTGTGTTCTGGGCCTTAGTGCTACGAACGTTCCATTTAAAATGTATAGCGACTGTTTGACCAGTTTAGAAGTTGCAGTTGCGTTTCACCATGTGTACTGGGCCTAAGAGTAAATATTACTCTTATGGTATATAATATCTTAGGTATGTCGTAGTCGATAGATTTCACTGTTTGCTTTTGAAGAGTGCCACAATTCTCCTACTGGCAACAAGAATATCGCCTTTCTGTATTGTTTTGTACTTTTCCACTGATTACAAATGAAAATATGCGGTCTGTAATCAACCACTCTGTATTCCGTACTCAATCAGCTCTTCTTTATACATTATTAAAAGAGCTATTATGATAACAAACTTAATTTTTTATCAATACTCATTAGCAAAATCGATATCGGCAAATTAAACAATTTCTTTTAATGAACAGCAGCGTACTTCCAGTCATAAGGGAAGATTTATTGTTTAATGGGATTTTCCCGTCCAACCCAACCTTTTAGGGGCTTGGCTTAAGTTGTAAACGATTTAAATTATTGGTATGTATGACACTTTTGTTGTATTTAAGTACGACTCTTTTTACCCGACTACGGCAAAGCCAAAGGAGGGTTATGATTTTGACAGGCTATGTATGTATGTATGTATGTATGTATGTATGTATGTATGTATGTATGTATGTATGTATGTATGTATGTTCATCTGTTCCCTCGTAACTTCTAAACTACTTATCAGAATTTGACAAATGACATATCATTAGAAGCGTCTTAATTGTCCGCTGGTTATAGGCTATATGGGGTTTCACAAAATCTAATGTGACGCCCTCTAGCGGACATAACATACAGAGTAAAAAAATAAAGTTAAGATAAATATGCCGTGTTTGGTATCATTTGAAAGGGCTTTACTTGTACATTTTGAATATATATATATTACTAGCATTTGCCTGTGACTTTACCTGTATTCATGGGCTGATTGCATTTGCATTCACATCTTTTCGTTCATTGCTTCTTTACTATCATCATCAATTTAACTTTTGTTAAAATTATGCGCCACAAATACACATTAACACCAAAATGGTACAAATAATAAATAAAAAGTAAAAAAACTAAAACCCAACTACGACAAAAAACGACGCTAAAAAAGTATAAAACAAGATTTTCAGAATACTGAACTGAACAAAGTTGCTAATGTAGTTGCATAGTAATTTTCATGTTTGGAAAGGCGTAGTCACACGTTACATATACCTACCTACCGTAGCACTTTGACAACGTGTGACTGCGGTTTTCCAAACATGAAAATTACTATGCAACTACATTAGCAACTTTGTTCAGTTCAGTATTCTGAAAATCTTGTTTTATACTTTTTTAGCGTCGTTTTTTGTCGTAGTTGGGTTTTAGTTTTTTTACTTTTTTTTATCACAATGCCCAGCAATTAAACCCAGTATATAAGGTTTACTTAAAGTCCTTCTTATAAGAGTGTAATTTTATTCCTCTCGTGTCTTTCAGCACTTAGACCACAACCCATTTCACTTGATAAAATCTACACTTCACTCCAACACAAAATTGGTATATTACCGTTGAGCGAAGAGCGTAAACCGATACAAAACAGGCTTTGTTAGTCAGAATTAAGGCCATATTGTGTTCTTTATTCTGCTATAATTAATTTCTCATTTAGACAATGAGCGAGCGATTGGTATCGAAAACCTAAAAAGATGGGCCGAAGATAAAAGGGAACTTTTGTATGTATTATTTTGTTAGAAGGTCAAAGTTAAGTTTAATTTTATATCGACTTGATACTTATTTTAAGCTTACCATGATGACGAAAAATCATTATTTTTTGATAAACGTCGAAACAATTTGTAAACTTTTCGCTATGTAAAATTGAATATTAACAATATTGTGACAGCAACTCTATAAACAGCGGACTTAATTACAATGTGTGCACAAATTTTGCAGTTTACGCAATGCGCAATATTGACAAAAGTAAATGTGCACATTTACATGAATTTACACATTTTTGTTGACTAATTGGTTTATTATTAACTACATATTATTATTTGACTTATTTTATGTATCACACACTAAAATGCATTAAATATTAAGTTGAAGCGCAGTCACAAACAAAATATGTAAACACATGGTATATAATTCTTGGGTTTAATAAGAAATGAGATTGTCTCTGCAATTCTACATCCAACACATCTGAATCAATCGTGGAACTACCAAGTCCATAAGTTAAGTAAGTGTACGTCGCTCTTTAATTTTGAACCTGTCTTAATTATGAAGCCACACTAGCCCAGAAGCGGATTGGTCGAACTGGCCGACTCGTCATTCGAGGAACGCGGGTGCGAACGAGTGGACTCTCCACAAATTATGGCACATTGTGACGAGTCCACTCGTGACACAAGCACGAGGGACTTAGTACGAGGGGCTAACGGGACACGGGACTATCAGTAATTGCAAAAACAAATTACTTACCAATATTCTTTTAAAAAATATATGAACACTTAATTAATAAAACTGACCTGCAATGTTAAAAGTGCCGAGGAGGAGCGTCCACAGCGACAGAACCCTGGTTGGGCTGGCTTTCAGAGAGCTCTCCATCTTCCAAGCCGGTCATATAAAATATTCCGGGCACTCAAAGTAATCCCTCAGATTACATCTTAACCCTAATATTTCTTTATTCATCTCTCACTCCGTCTGAAACAAGGAAAAGTCAAATTGTGAATTTGTTAAAAAAATTCTCCCGTTGTTAATTATTTAGGATCTGCCGGGGAGTTTTGTTTTTATCTCAAATAACAAATTTATAATGGACGGTGTATTAATTTATCATTAAGCCGAGCCTTCTTTGTTGGTATTGAATTATTAGGACGAAAATGTTTTGCCGTTGTTTACGAATTTTTTCGTTTGGTATAACATTTGGTCGTAATTGGAAAATGTTTGACAAGGTTTATTTTTTACGATAACGTATTGGGTTGTCTAACTCAATGCGGACAGGTTTTTTGTTCTGATGAATTTATTGTGGTAACCTAATTTTTCTTCTGTCGTGTTGTTTGAACTGGATTTGTATGTTGTCAGAGTTCATGAGTCACATGAAGGTCTGACATGGTAAGATTAATTGAATCGATGGCTTAACCTGTCATTGCTAGCATGAAATTATAATTCTTTTTAGATAACTAGCCTTACGTAGGATTGTATAGTCATAAACAAACTGTACGAGTACACCAATTGAAAATCGTTCCTAGAACCTTTTGAGTCTATGAGTATATACGAGTAGTCTGTAATCATTGGGACAAGAAGGAATTTCTTAAATATACATTTCTTGTTATAACGTCTATAAATACTAAAATTTTAGTCTTAATGCGTCGTCACCCATGAAATTGAAATTAGTTACCCAGTATTTCAATTCTGATTCGAAAACTCGAACTTAAATGTATTTATTTGTGAAGTTCGCCGTAAAAGTTTCCGTTATTTTAGGTCTGGTCAACACTGTTAAGCATTATAAATTGTATTTAAATCACCTGCTTGAATATTCACCGCTCGAAATGAGGGGCTAAACGAAAATGTACTTTACGCAATATTAATCAAGTGAAAAGTTTTCAATTACGCCGGCAGATGGCAGGGGATATTTAATGGCGTTGTTATAGTTAAAGTTAAATATTCAAATATAAATAAAAAGGTATCCATAACTAATTATTGTAACAAAAAAAATAATTTATTCTGACAAATCAGTTGTTCAGTCAAGTAATAGGTTTTATAAGTAGGTACGACTTATGTATAAGTGCAGCAAGACACTGTACAAGTTGTTTCTTTTACGTGGTTAAGTTACAGGGTATGAGTTATATAGTTTGTGCTGAAATCAAGAATTCATGTTTCAATACTTGTCTTTTTAAATACATATAAATAAAATTGAAGCTTGAACTGATCATAATATTATTATAAGTAACTTTGATAACTTGATTTATAAGACCTGAAGTAAGTCTTGATCACTTAAATCGATTAAAAAACGAATGATTGTCAAACTAATATGAGCGATACACAGCTAAACGCATTTAGAAATTCGTAAACATGCCTCAAAAATGATGAAACGTACAAAAACATAATAACATAGGTATTTTAATGGTCAAACAGTGAGAGAGTATGTTGTTACTTTTTCAATGGTATTTTGTTCGTAGTTAATTAAGTCCCACGGGTGTAATAACAGTGTTTACATGTCACGTACATTGACTAATGTGAGCACTCCCATTCTTACCATCATTTATATAAACCATTCATCATTTACTCATGTTGTATAAATTCAGTACACATTTAAAAACAGTACAAATTTAAAATGGATACTATGGAGAGACTCTTTAGAGAGAGCTCTCGCTCTCCTAAAATGTGTTTTTTTTTATTTTATTGAAAAAAAAAAGAACTGCTCTAAATGTTCCCTAACCCGTGTCTGGCCAGCGTGGGAAGTGTAGGCCAAGTCCTTCATTTGCCTTTGGTAAATTGGAGGCGTGTTTCTATTTTTAATTCTATTTTACACATTTTATTATCATAAATATCTTTGCCCATTAAAAAAATATATGTACAGCTATAGGCCACTTTGATTCTCATAGATTCAATTAAAATATGTAAAAAAATAACAAGGTTATTGAACTTTGTTTCCCATACCAATACTAACCCCCCATAGACTCAAAAACTTTGACAAATTAATAACTTAATGGACAAAAAATTCGTTATTTTGTAGCAGTTAAGATTGAGCATTAATGAAATTAAGCACACAGAGGGCCGGTTCCATTCACACGGTATCAAATGCCCACAGAGGTGGCCTTTTTCACAAAATTCCCAAGCACCAATTTCCATGAAAGGTGCCCGACGCGAGTCGCTATCGGGTTCGTAGGCGACGCCCGAATATGCCCGAAGTCTACCGTAATGCCACAGTTCTGCGAACGTTGAAACGGGGCCCGTTGGAGACCAATGGAGTTTTTGGATGGTAGCCAAAACCTGGCTCCGAGTAAAGTGCCTATATTGGTGAATTAGGCTGAGGTAAATTTCACATTATAGTTTTAAAACAGCATTAGATATTTTTTTGTTGAAGTGCTATTGGTTTGTACTATATTGTTCAATGTACAAAATTACGATGCGATTGCGGTCAAATTCTCTGCTTTGTTATGCATAAAAAAAATAAGGGCTACAACATTAGGCCATTAAATTACACGTAAAGAGAACGTATTCAAAACCACGCACTCAGTAAGTAGTAAAAGTTTGCCCTGGACTGGCACGCTTGAATAATGATTTGAAGGTTTTTATTTTTCCAGAATTGTAGCACTTGACATTGTAACTAACCATTCAGTTTATCAAAATAACGACACATTTTTGCAATAGAATATTCTGTTACGCGTCATAAGTATAATGTGTACTTACCTTTACAGCGAAAAGCTCACCTTACGCTTTAATTTAACCTTAATTTCATCTGTCTCAACGCATTAGAAGGTAAATTAAATTACTAAAGTTGTTTTTGTATAATACTCGTTACCTGTAGCCCTTGACTACAACGAGTTTGTTAAAAGAGCTTTCAAAGCTGCAGACCTGCAGAGCTTTTTCCTTGGCGTAATATAATTTGATTGTGGAAATGAGGGAAGCAATATAAGACTTCCACCATTGTTGTACGTTAGTTGGATGGCCGTAGTGGAGTCGCTAGAGCTACATGCTCCAGCGATGGAAGTGAATATGGTAAGCAAGTTATTTATTTCGTATGGAAAACAGGGTTTGAAAAGATTTTATACCTTGATTTCAATAGTACTTTTAGGTACTTAGATCTTTCTTGTACATTTACAAACTTTATACAGTAGTTTTGTGCAGTATTGCCCGTATTCACAAACATTACTATGATATCTCACAGTGCGCGTGGACACACACGGTGACACACGAACCAATAACAGAGCTCTATTCAATGCTGTGCGTTCGATTTGCTGCTTCACTTAAGCAAGCATCGCTTGTGAATACGGGCGCAAGTTTATAATTATGCTTACTTGTTGTACATTTGAAGTTAAAATTAATCGCTCTTATCATATCGACCAAGCAAAAGAAAAATCTTTGTTACTACCATAACAATAACTGACGCTGTCAGCCCCTTAAGCAAAATTTCATCTGACATTTTAGGGATACTTAACTTTTTAGCACGCACTTTTGGCAATACACGTTTTATTTTATTTTCCAAGTCAATTTGCACCCAAGAAATCATAATAAACCTCCGACCACGACCATTATCTTACCTACAAAGTACAACATCCTGTGTATTATGTATCTACCTTAGAGGGTTTGGTGTAAGTTGTAAAATAACGCGAGATTAAAATTTGGTGATTGTAGAAACTGTTACGGATAAAAAAAAATTAAAAGTAATAATTTTAAAAATTATACAGGGCCGTCGTGAAACTGTGAATCAAACAAAAAGGATTGATATTACGGATAAAATCTTTTAAAAAATTATTACCTACATAAAAGGTGTCATCAGTAAGACGTATGGAAACGTCTCGTTTTTATTTTGTTCTAGGTAAGTAAGTAGCTATGTAATTGAGCAAAGTGTTTATGCAATATGCATATACTTGTACAATACATCTTGCGCGGTTTTGAAAAATTATGTATCCTTCCATCTTCTTATTCATAAACAACATAACTCATTATCCGAATACGAAAATTCGTAGATGTGTATTTGTTACGAAATATGATATGCTTTTAGGCTCGCATATGCTTTTAGGCTCGCAATAAAGCATTTGAACATAAAATTTAGTAAAATATCCAGAACCAATGAGCCAGTTGGAACAAGATGGTCCCCTTAATTGACGAAGCCAATATAAAGCCATAAAGCCATTTCACTGGAAAACTAATAAATATATTATTATCTTCCTTAATTGAGCCGACAATGATCGTTTCGCAGAATTTACTAATCTGGCTTCCTATTTGAATTCCATGAAATCCCAATGAGTTATTATATGATGGGGAATTGTTCAACTTTAAAATCCCTTCAGGATAGCGATAAGTAATCATAATGAATTACACAAAAAAAAATAGTAATTCAATAATTACTTCTTTGAATTCAGGCCTTTAAGAGGCCTGTTTTTCAATTTTCAATATAATTTTGAAGTCAAATGTTCAGGACAATAAAGTGGACCAGTGTTGGGAAAAAGCAGCAAAATATAGTCGCTATATTACCACCTTCTTTTCAGAGGTTTAAGTTTTAAAATTCCACACAATTATTTCGTTAAAATCCATTAAGTTTAAGCCCTTTTATTTTACATAATCGTCATTAACTTTAAAGCAGTCCACTACTGGACGTAAGAATCATTACATTAATGGGAAAATATTATCTTTAACTCAATAGTTTTTACTATAGAATTTTTAATTCCATTTTATTTTCATTTTCGTCTTCCACCTTTGACTGGGGAATATTCTGGCAAATGCGCCGTGAAATATCTTTGTTCAGCTGTTGCGCTCTTGGGTTCATCTGCATTAATGATTGTTAATCTCTCTGTAAATATACTGATTACACAGTTTTCCAGTTTCCCGTCGCTTTCATCGTTTCCAAATTGCAACATTTCGCGCTTTGTATTTTACGTACAAAAGAGGTTAAATGCCTGGATAAAAAGAGTTCCAAAATTATCATTTTTCTCATGTAATCTTTTTTGAAAATATAATATTATTCTGTTCACCCATCC